ACCAGCTGCTTTAGCTCATTGCATAAACATCATCCAGGACTTAATATGTCATTGACTCTATTCTGCTGTTTCATTTTTTTCAGCGATGTTCCAGCGATGCAGACTGTGAGCAGGGCTGCTGTTTTAAAAAGTTAGGTTTCTCCTGGTGCAGAGAGAAGAAGAAAGAGGGCAGCTTCTGTCACCCTCGTTCTGTAAGTGCAACAAAACTCTTGCAAACTTGCAAAATAATCAATCGAAGAGTGAACGTTTTATTTTTTTAATTCTCCTGCAAATTGAAGTTGACTAAAAATGTGGTACATGTGTTTTTCTTTTAAATAGACCTGCTTTTTTAAATGCAAGGAGGGACTAGAGTGTAAGAAATCCGGATTCCTCTCCAACAAATGCGTCAAGCCAAGACTGCCAACCCATCCACCGCCGGAGGAATCAGGTTCTGGAGAAATTGCAGTGTAACCAGATGGCTGCCGGAATACGTCTGTCGATGAATAGATAAATGGTTTATGGCCCCTGCACTGGTGCTCGATAACTTGTTGATTATTAGATAAACAGTTATAACAATATCAATCAGGCATTCTCTTTTCACTGGAAAATGCAACTGTTATAATAAATTGCGGGAAACACGTGTCGAGGAGAGTTTGAGCGTGTTTTTTTACTTCTCGCCCCTTAACACTTTAACTCCCCTGAATGACCAAGACAGAATTTTTCCTTACAATATCGACGCAATATCAAGCAGACAAGTAATGAGAATAAGGAAAAAAGAAAATCAGGGGATTATCAGTTGATCCAATACCAAATTCTCCAAACTAACATCTTAAAAATTGTATGGCAGACAGTGATGAGAATTGCTAATGAGATCTTGGGAGTGAAAGGGTGAACCCAATGCCCTTTTAACGTCTGAACTATGTGAGCGTGCCGTATAATACGTGTTGTAGTTTCTAACTTACGCTGTCACACGTTAAAGTTTGTGAATATTGTAAAAATTAACAAGTTCGTCAGTTTCAACCCTTGTTAATCTACTCTAATATCAATCCTTTAGCCCATTAAAAGTGATTAGCATCTAATTTCTCTTCACGGAATCACTCCTGAAACACACATCGTGGTCAAGAGAGCAGAGAAATTGATAAATTCATCTCCAGCCTAAGATGCCCTCAAGAATTCTGCTTGTCCGCACCCTTGGAAATGCGCGGAGAACAGTTTGGATGATATGCATACTGATAGAAGGGTGTAAAAAGAGTTAACCTTCCTCTTTCCTTATGTATTCTGATATACATTCTGTTGCATTCTGATATGCATTCTGTTGCATTCTCATATGCATTCTGTTGCATTCTCATATGCATTCTGTTGCATTCTCATATGCATTCTGTTGCATTCTGATATACATTCTGTTGCATTCTGATATGCATTCTGTTGCATTCTCATATGCATTCTGTTGCATTCTCATATGCATTCTGTTGCATTCTTATATGCATTATGTTGCATTCTCATATGCATTATGTTGCATTCTCATATGCATTCTGTTGCATTCTCATATGCATTCTGTTGCATTCTCATATGCATTCTGTTGCATTCTCATATGCATTCTGTTGCATTCTGATATAAGGGTATAAAGGGTTAACCATCTTCGTTCTCTTGTTTTTATTTCATTGGCAAACAAGTGTTTTCAGGTGTCCTATTTAAAAGCAGTTGTCGATGGCTTAAAACCCCATGACCTCACTGAGTAGAGGAAAACTCGTCACGCCTGATAATCCCAGAACTATTTTAGGCGAAATGACTTTGATCTTACCCCTTGCATTATGTGCACCGGATATACAAAGGCAAATGCACTATAACAGAGTGTGCATGCTTGCAGGTGTAAATGTAAGGCACTTGTTTTGTCATGAGAATGGGAGCTAAAAACTGTCTTTCAAGAGCTCGAACAAAGCAAACTGAAATCGGCTCGTCGTGTTATCGGCTCTGGGAATAAAACTGTAATCAGACGATCTTATTTTGAAAACAATAGCCGTGCTCCGTAAGACCCAACGATAAATTTAAGACTGGTAAAGGAAGATATTCCGACGCCACTTACCCCCTTTTGGCTTTGAATGTACCATTGCATATTGCATCACTAGGGCAACTGCAACGTCATCCACAAATGATATTTCGAAGAAAAGAAAAAAGTCCTCACCTGGCTCAGATGTTCATGCATTTTTTTAAATATTCTATAAGCTTGAACAAACACACTTTTGTGCCCTGCAAGTCAGCTGATTAACGGTCTTTCATTGAATATGAAATTGAAGATGAATTTAAGCGGATAGAGAGATGTTTGTGATGTAACCGATGACATGATATATCACTATTCTGGACTACAATCTCAAATTCTAATCATAATGAAACGCTTTGCACAGCTTAAAATGGCTGTACTCGTCTTGTATATTACCTTTTATAAGTATTCCGTTTTGCTTAACTCCAATTAGATTAAATTGATGTTTGATACTGTTTGAACAAGTTTGACACCCCACTGTTATAACACCTTGCTCTTTCTTTGCGAGCCAAGACGTTTCTTTTCTTTGCGTTCGCATTTGTGACAAACCAGCATTGTTCGGAGGAATAAAAGGCTCAGCTTAGTTTTAGGGTAATTGTAATCATCGCATCACCGACAACATGAGGTTCTTGTTGTTAATAGTGCTTTGCCTTGCTTTCGTCCTCGTTACAGCTGAACCCAGTTTTGTAGAGGATGAATATTTAGAAGACGCAGAGGAAAATGATGC